TTTTTGGTGGCAAAAAACCCCCCTGGGTCTAAATTGCCCCCCCCCCCCCCGATATCTATAAAATGACTAGTTTTTAGACCCTTGGAAAAAAAAGTTAGATCGTTTTTCATAATTATAATCCCTTAGAGATTACGCAAACAGCTTTTGTATTAGCGTTAAAACTTTAATTTAACGTTTTTGTATTAGTATTATATTAGCATTAACCTAATGCTAACATTTATTTTCTTAATTCTAATACAAAAGTATTTAAAATCGTATCATGTGGCCCAACACTAATGCTGAATTGGCAAACCTAGATGAAACTTTCTCTTTACTCAGCAAAAATACCTGCAGCAATATTAATTTCACAAGACTCGATGAATGATTGTCAAAATGAATTGTATTGAAAAACTGTAGTAACTTGCATTTGCAAATGTAGATTTCCTACTGTCAAAAATGTAAAAGGCAATCATATGAGAATATTTCGAAAATTATCTACAACGTTGATTCTATTCACCGAAAACAAAAGCAGCAATCAAACTAAATTGAGAATTTTATTTTAGCGCAATTACTATGGGACGGGCAAGCTGTGACTGATTGTGAATTTCTACCTTATATATATTTCAACACGTTTTAGATTATATTCCACGAAATGAATGGTTGCATGCAGCCACGAATCGTCTCGTCCAACTTCAGAAAGCTTGACGATACGATAAACATACCCTTATCGACATACAATTTACGGAAGCGCATAATTGCATGAAATTATCTGCGCCAGTGAACATTCAATCTTACTTTGCGCTTGCAATGGAAAGCAATCGTACTGCTTCCATATTAAAATCGATACAGTAAGTCGCCAAACTTGTTTTCTCGATATTTATATGCAATAATGCAAGTAATTAAAAAACGGACTATCGAAAACAGACAAGAAAATATAAGGAAGTAAGTGGTTTATTCGTGTAGGCAAGAGAAAAAAACGAACAGCTAGATATCTTCGTTTTATTTTCACATAACGTTTATTGGAGAATAATTAGTTATTCAAGTATAAGAATTGCTCACATGCACAAGGTACTATTTAATTACAGTGCAATATTCTTGACATATAGAATGAGAGAAAGGAAACATGAATGATCGAAAAAGTAGTATTTATTGGCAAGCATGTTTGTCGTAAGTGAAGGAAATTGTTCGTAGACCACGTAGTACGCTGTATAAATGTTCTTCTGTTCATTAATTAGTTATAAGAAAAAAATCATCAAATATTCTATCTTCAAATTAGTTTTAGATAAAATTGCTAGAATTCTACACCATTGTCTGGCAAAACGCATCAAAAATTAGAAAACGAATGTGACTTTCATAGTGGAATTTGAGCTCCTATATAAAATGAGTCGTTATTTGAGCTTTTCGCATATAAATTCAAGAAAAATTTCTTCTGTAAAGCAACTAGTAAGTGGGTACTTGAAGCCACTGATCAAGTACCTAACTGGGTACTATTGCACAGTATGCTTAGGTACCCTGTCATCAAAATTGCAGTAGGTTGATGATCGAACCTAATCTTCGAATTTTTTCATTTTTTTCTTTCAAAACAACTTATTAAATTTTTTTTCGATTTTATTTAATTAAATTTTTCCAATTCTTAAAACTCCAGCAGGTCAAATTTCGGGATCTAATCGAGCTAGAGTTGGTCGAATCTCCATCCGACCACTTCAGGGTAGTCCGATCTTAATTTACGATTAAGATCTGCATGTTCTCGACTAATAAATAGTCAAGAAATAATCTAGAACAAAAAATATGAAAATAGTTTATTTTCTTATGGTTTACCGAGTTTTTTATAAGAAGCCGTTCACGCAAAAGAAAACGGTGAATGAACAGTCGCTACACAGAACGCAAAAAATCTAGGACACCCTGTAGAGCTTTCCTCAGTAAAATTACAAGTGCGGGTACCCATACAAGTAGAGGTGTCAGCCGAGGTGCTCATCGGCGGCGGCTTTAAAAATTTTGATTTATTTTTTAATGCTCAGCGGCGGCTGGAAGGTTAAAAAGCACTAGTTTTGTGAACAAGAACAGTCTGTTTATTGCAATATCCTACCGTTAGTATTTTCAAACAAATATGTGAAACAACTTTATTTTACATCTTGACATAATAAATAAAGTACATTTAAATAAATTAGGGATACACCAATTCCTAGTACATGATCCGAAAGATGATATTTTTGCCTGATGAAGAACGCAGTTATCCGCTTATTTCATAGATCAATCAAGATTAATTTTTTTCGCTCCATCCGAAGCTGCAGTCGAATTTATGAAAGATTTTAACAAGGCTTCGGATTTTACCGGGGCTTTACATAAAACTAGAATTTGTAAGTTTTGGGCGCTTAAATTCTGCGAAATCCAACTCAATTTCAGAATTGCCCGTTGTACTAGGCAAAATTTAAGAATATATTTGAAGAGAGCATTCAATACTGAAAAGAAGCAAACATTAGATCAAAAATCCCAGGAATTGTTTTTTCCCCTGTATAAAAAGAACATGCTCGTCATTGGCAGTTATCAACCGAGCATCTTTTTTCAAATTATTTCTGTTCAGTTTTGAACGCTCTCTTCAAATCTATTCTTAAATTTTGTTAGTGGCGGAGCCAGGATTTTGCACTGGGAAGGGTTCATGGGCGGCTAAAAATTGCTTGAGGGAACTAAATCTCGCTCAGCCACCCCGTGGATCCGCCACTAGATTTTGTCTAATACAAACTGCAAGTCTGAAATTGAATTAGATTTCACAGAATTTGACCCAACGAAATTTGAAAATTCTAATTTTGTGTAAAATCCACGCAAAATCTGAAGCATTTTTTTAAATCTTTCACAAATTCGGACTATGGTTTCAGAGAAGGCGAAAAAACTGATCTTGACTGCTCTATGGAATCAGCAGACAACTGTGCTCTTCATCAGGCAAAAATGTCATCTATCATACCATGTACTAGGAATTGGTGTATCTCTATATATCATATTGAGATGAAAAATGAATAAAAACATCGAAATTAATTAAAAAATGAAAATATAAATAAAAATTGTCGATATCAATGATAGGGGTCGGCGGCGGCGGCGGCTCAGCCGCATGGCTGACACCTCTAGTTGGATAGCATGAATGTAAGTGTAATTCTCTTGAGGATTCTCACATTTTATGATCTTTCTAAATTATTAGAAGCAAATTGTCGATCTGAGAAGAGAAGTGTTGAACCTTGAAGAAGGAATGAATATTTTAAAGTATCGTCAAATGAAAAATGACTATAAACTTTTAGTCCGTGAAGTGTTTAGCAATGTGAAATGTTTATTAATTTATTCTATTCAACGAGTAAAATTTCCAGACAACTATCTGGATCCAATTTACGATTTAAATTTCGACATTCAAAATTTGCAAGCATCAAACTCGTTCTTATCGTATTTGATAAGAACAGTTGCGGATCAATTCGGTTTAAGCATGAATGAACTTATTGATTTTTTGCGTATTAAAAAAAGGTCAAATGCTACTTTTCATCTTAATTTGGAGATGAAAGAGTTTGCTAGACGACATCTCATTGACCAACAATATGAGTTACAAAAATTCATACACGATGAAAAGTTATTGATCAATATCAGTGATGTCAAGATGGGAAAATTGCAATGTGTATTCCAACAAATTTGCAGGCGTTGAAATGGGCAAAAGTATATAAAGATCGTTCTCTGTCTTGTTCGAGGAAATATCTATGAAATGCCTCCTTTTTTATTTAAGTTTCTTTTTAACTCAGTTATTTTGTCATTCTAGTCTGGACAATCAAGATCACCTATTCAAAAAGAACGATCATGTTAAAGTACTATATGATGATGGAATGGTAAGATTATCTCGTTTTTACTATTTTAGCCATTTTTTACTCTATTAGTTTTATACTGCTACTTTGATCAAGTTTGATCCAGTTGTCAACAAATGGAAAATTCGTTATGATGATCAACAATATGCATCACATTGAACGATCGTTGCACGGATATTTAAAGTGTAGTTTGTCTTTATAGCCATGTGCTGAGAATTGTTTCACTGGGAACAGATCGTTTTTTTTTTAAATAAAGTTTAGAAAAACAAGCGAGAGATAATTATGACATATTCTGGATGTGAGCTATGGAAAAGACGCGTTTTTTC